TGTGTAGGAGCTGTGGAAACGGCCGTCCAGGACGGGCACCGGAGCGGTGCCATTCGGGCACCCCTGGACACACAGGGTTTGGTGTCATTTCCTGAAAACAGAAGTTGCTTTTCCTGCTCACGCTCATCTCCCAAGGGCTCCCTTTTGCTTAAGTATTTCTCTGTCCATTTCTCCTCCTTTTTTGCAGGCAGCAGCAAATGGAGCTTTGCCCAAGTGGCCAAATGGCTCCATGACTCAGTGTCTAATATTTCCTATTCTTGTCTGGCTCCGCAGGTGCTCGAGCGAATTCCCTGCCGTTCGGGAGCTGCTTTGGTGTCCCCGGGCCCTGGCTCGGGGGGCCGCGGGCGCTCACGGCGGCTCTGCTTCCCTCGCAGGTGTCGCGGGTGCGAGCAGTACACGACGTTCGGCGAGTGCCTGAGCTCGGGGGACCCGCACTGCGGCTGGTGCGCCCTGCACCACGTGTAAGTCCAGCCGCCCTGCGAGGACGGGCGCAGGGGCCTCAAATCCGGGCGCCCCTTCCTGGGACACTTCCCGCTCTGCAGTGCAAATGCCCCTGGAAATCCCTACACCCCTGGGGAAAAGTGAAGGCAGGCAAATCCCTGCCTTTGGAGAGGTGGGATACACCTGACGTGGGGAGAGGGTGTCCTGGGGTGCAAGGGAACACGGAACATAGACCCATGGCAGCAGGGCCTCTGTGCTGAGCTCTCCTGCTCGGGACACACGCCAGCTTGGGACCCATTAAACGTAGCTGGAAGAGGTGGGAATGCTGCATGGGAAGGAGGGAGCGTATCCGCTCGGGTGGCACAAGGGACCGCACACAGCGGCGCAAAGGGCTCCGGGTGTTTTCCCGGGCACTGCAGGAAGCAGCTCGGGATAATGCAGGAGGGCTCTGTGCTCCTGCCGCCTCCCTGCAGCCCCAGCCCGGGCTTCCGAAAGCAGAGGAGGGATGAGGAGAACCCGGCGCGGGGGCCACGGAGCCGAGGAATAGAAATCCCGGCGGCCTCGTGCGAGCGCACGGGAAGCCGAGCGGGGTCAGGCCCTTGGCCCCGCGCCCGAGCGGCAGGTGCTGGGAGGGTGGGAAAGGAGAAGGAAGGCGGCTCGAATGCAAAACGCGGCCTGGATCCGGCCGTGCTCCGCTCCGGGTGGAAGGGGGCTCGCGGTGCCCGGCTCGCTTTCCCGGGCTAATGACCCGAATCCTGCAAGCTGCACGGGAAGCAGGTGGAGGTTGTTATCTTCATTTTGCAGAGAGAAAACCCTCAACACGCAGAGCAGAGAAAGGCATCGTTCGCTCTGCCCTTTTGGCCCTGATGTTTTGCATTAACCTCTTCCCAGCAAGAGCTTCTTGATGGTGCTTCTCAATCCTCCTTCGAGTTCTCCCGCTTTGCTGGCCTGCTTGGAGCAGTGATTACTTTTTAGCCCTTGTCTTAAGCTCTAGATAATTGGGTTCACTCACTGCTACTGAAGCCTCTGTCGTGTTGGAGCAGAGGCCCCGAGCGCTGCAGAGTTTGTGTTCAATTTGGCTTCTCGCTCCTCTGATTCCTTCGCTTCCCCAGGAAGCCAGGGAAGTTTTCAGAAGTTTTCTCCTACATGAGAAGGAGGGAATTCTGGCTCCTCCGCTGGTAACACTGGTGTTCCCGGGAGCAAGCAGAGGCCTCGGGGAGGGTGAAGAGCCTCTCCAGCCCCTGGGATTAGAAACCTGCAGGGCTCTTCCCGTGCTGCTCTCTGCAAGTGCCTTATTGTCTACAACCCGATTTATCTCTGTTAGGGCTGTTGCCATAAATAGTATGATAAAAAAGAACCATTCCAGTGAGTCAATGAGATAAAGGCTCCAGTCAAGAGCTCACTTTAAAGCTATCTTACAGATTCACTTAAACCTCAATAATTCTTCCTTTGGCAGCGTTCATATTTAGCTCCATTATATCCCCAAAAAAAGAAGGGCAGGAGGGTGCGGGAGCAGCAGGAGTGTTTGCAGGGCATCGCAGGGGCCGCGTGGGAGCCGAGAGCGCAGACTCCGCTGCTCCTTTTCAGAAAGAAACGGCGTCCCAGGCAGGATGACCGCTCACTTTTTGGTGCTCAGAGAGATTTGCAAGGTGCTGGTAGGTCTTAGGTAGACGTGGCCTGGCCAAAGCCCAGTTCTACGCACACAGCTGGGCACACGTTTGGGTGAGGGTGCCCAAGCGAGCACCAGCGCCCACGTAAACAGCCCAGAAGAACCTCCTGGTGACGGTATCCCGGTCCTCTAACCTTTGCACTGCAACCTGAAATAAGGTCAGGATCGATAGTGAGTGAGAAGTGGTTAGGTTTGCTGATAGTTCATTAACACCTTTAAAATGCCAATATATGTCGTGTGCTCCAGGGAGCGGAGCTCCAGGAGCAGGATTTTCCCCAAATGACACAAGGTAGAAAATCACTGAGGGGTCCCGCTGCCGTGCAGCGTTGTCATGTGTGGTTTAAAGCGTTTCCCTAGTTCTTGGTGTCCTAGCGGGCACTGCTCTGTGCCCACACTTGTGTTTCCTGTTCCTGGAAGCGGCAATGGGAGCACTGGAGCCTTGGAGAGGGCGGCAGGGAAGCCAGCAAAACGCTGAGGCTGCGGCCAGAGGAGCCATCCCGGTTCCCAGCACTACCCCAGGCTCTTCAAGAGGAGAGGATGAACGAGCTGCATGGTTTTGTGTAACTTAAAATGGAGGCAGCTTCTTTTGCTGCTTTTTGTGGCTGCCAGCTGCAGTTTGGGGGCAGATTATGAATTTACTGCTCTCGGGAAGGAGCATGGAAGGGAAGGTGCCATCCCGCTCATCCCCACGGCCCGGCCGTCGTGGCTGGGGCGCAGAGGGCGTTCCCGGGATCGCGGGGGGGTTTGGTCCGGGCGCGCTGACGCTGTGCTCGTGTGCCAGGTGCTCGCCGAGGGACAGCTGCGAGCGGGCGGACGAGCCCAACCGCTTCGCCGCCAGCATCGGGCAGTGCATGAGCGTCACCGTGCAGCCCAGCAGCATCTCCGTGTCCGAGCACAGCCTCCCAGTAGGTGCTGGCGATCCGGGCTGGGGCCCTTTCCATGCATCGGGAGCATTTCCAGCCCATTGCGGGTCCGCTTTCCAGCCTTTCTCCCTTCCCAGAAGCACAAATGTTTCTGCCTGAGGCCAGGCTTGCAGAGGGGCCACTATAGAGAGGACCAGAGCAGGCAGGGAGCAAATTCCCTCTCCTCCCGGGGCCCTGCTTGCATTTTCCATGCTCGGGTTTCACTAGCATTGAAGGAGAGGCTTTGTTCCCGGGCTCCTTGGCTCCCTGTGCCCAGCCCTGCTGCTCCAGGGCGTCCCAGCTGCGCACGGAGCAGCTCGGCTCTCCGCGCGGCTGCCCCGGCACAAGTGCTGCTGCAGCTGGTGCCCATCCCGGAAGCTGCCCTCGTGTCCTCCTGCCCGGCCTCCTCGGGACGTGTCCTGGCCTTGCCACCCGCAGCCGTTTGCCATGGGGCACCGATGGCCTCCCCATGCAGAGCATCGCAGCCTGTGTCAAAACGTGGCATGATGCCACCGGTCCCCAAACGCTGCCTTCCCCCCGTGGCTGTTTTAAGGGGTCACTGTTCCATGGGAATAACTGAAACCGCGGCAGAGACTCGAGCAGCTCCGGGTGCAGCCGGGTCCCTCCATCCCTCATGCCCTCCCTGCCTCTGCCTTGCCCCCGTGCAGCTCAGCCTGCTGGTGAGCGACGCGCCGGCCCTGTCGGCCGGGATCCCCTGCCTCTTCGGAAACCTCACGGAGGTGGAAGGCGGCGTGTCGGGCAGCCAGGTCGTGTGCGTGTCACCGGCGGCGAAGGATGTCCCTGCCATCCCCATGGAGCAAGGTGGGCCACCAGCTTCTGCACAGCAACAGCAAACTGCAGCCCGGAGGCGTCCGCCAGGCACAGCTGAGCCCCGCGGGGCTGCTGCTGGCGAAACTCATGGGTGCCCCAAAAACATTGAGCGCAGGGAGGTCAACACTGCCCTTCCTTAAAAAATCCACGCCTAGAGCCAAGGAGAGGAGGGCCGGGAGCTGCAGCCCCCCCAGCCCCGGCTGCCGTGGAGGCTCCCGGGGCTCTGCAGCGGCTCCCGGCTTGGCCATGGTGGGTGGATCGGGAAGGGGCAGCCGCGCCAGGCCTGACCTGGCACCCACGAGGAGGTGGCGCCTCTTTATTCATGTCACTGCTGTCATCATTCCTCTACCCATAACCAAAATGCTCCTTGCTTGGAACTGTTTTCTACTTGGCATCCTTCCAGGTGCCAGCCATGCTTCCTGGCCCATCACTCTGCGTTCCTAAAACGTTATATGGAGTGGGGGACATGGGGCTGTAGCCAGGCCAGTGCCAGTCTAGCCCAGGGCAGCCCTGGCCGAGCACCCTGCCCTCAGTTCCTCCAGTGCTGACTCTCCTCTAACGCGTCCTTAATGCCCTTGTTTCCCAGATCGTCTCCTGTTCCGGCTTGGGCTGTTCGGAGCAGACCCCATTCATGTGGTTTTGTGCTGAGGAGAGGTTTTTTTTTTAAGGAATGAGATGGGATCCCAAACTCATTTCAAAGGTGTCCTAAGGCAGTGCTTAGGCCCTGCATCTCCTGCGTGTTTTGCCGTCAAGTCTGATTTGCCTGGGCGGGATTGCTGGAGGGAGCCGGCTCGGCGGGGGCTGCGCCGGCTGCTCCGCTCGGAACGCCT